TATATAATTCTGTGTAGATTTTAATTGATATTTGCCACTAATGTTAGAGCAAACAAATCAAATTTTTGCCGTCAAGTATCTCATCCTGGACTTTGTCGGACGAGGTGGAGATCTCAGCCTGAATGGACAGAATGGCGCAAATGAACGTGGCCACTGTACTGCCCACTGCCAAATACAAGCCCCAACCTGTCAATCAAATTGCATAAACATTTTTAATGATCACTTTATATGCAATTTATTCACTGAATTAACAGAATATGTAAGATAAGTATCTGATTTTTTAGTTAATTAGTACATCAATTAAAATACTAATAATGTATGAATGGTATGGATGTATACCTATAGTGCAGTCTCCGAGTAGAAAAGGGTCGGCTTTCACACCGCAAACGCGTTCAACTCGATCGGTGCCCCAGCCTTTCAAATGTCATAGAAATAATTAATGGTAATTAATATCTAGATTACATAATAGTGTGGTTAATATACACTATTAAATTGATTTCTAATTGCAATTCAATTTCCAGTACCAAAGTACAATAAATGGGGTTATAATTTCCATACATCAAGTATATTACTTACAAACAAAACTAATAATTTTATCATTAATTAATGTACATTCACTATACGTTGACTATGGCATTTGTAAATTCCGCTTATTGTGTGCTCTCCAGTATTGCAATTAAAAATTTATTTATAAATTAAAAAAAATAAAATAAAGTTTATTAATATTAAAAAACAAGATATAATGCCATTTCACAAAAAAGCCAGAAATATGTGAAACATTTACTAAATTAATATAAAACTTATAACGAATTTCTATTCCTAACCGCAACACACCCTAAACCATACAAATATAGCATTTATTAACTAATTAATTATATTTAGATAACATTTCTGTCACAAACAAAACATTTCCTATTATTAATAAATAGTGATATTTTATTGTGTATTTTATTAATAAAATACATTAGAAATGTAGCTTAAAATTATAGATTAATCTAGAAGTTGTATTTTAACCTTATTTATATTTATAGAAACACATTCAGCAATATTATTAATATAAAACCATGATGATTTCTCAATTAGATGTGGATAGTAAACTAGTAAACAACTAGCTCTGGTCAAACTTCCAATTGAATAAATCTGTATTCAATAGCATTAGTGCTATAATTCAAAACACTTTGGGAAACATATTTCAGGATTTACTCAAATTCTATGGTTTCAACAGAAAATAATAAATTGTTTTTATAGTCTATTAAATCAATAAATATTACATAAATTTTGCAAAAACTATACGATTCTTATATCTTATATTTTGCTTCGAGGAGAGAGAGAGAGAGAGAGAGAGAGAGAGAGCAAAAAGAAAGCTTTCAAACGAAAATACTTTGAAATGGAAAACATTTCCAAAC